CCATCGGAACCTAAAAAAATTCTTTTTCTACACAGAAAGGGGGGGGGGGAAGACGCTCCACCCTTTTCCGGAGGCCATTTTTAAGTCTTAAAAATGGAAAACTGTATCTGAGGCTGAACAGTAAATCATCTCACACACACAATGAGTGAGCCCTTGGGTCAGGACACCGTTGTTTGTTTGCTTGTTTGTTTGTTTTGTTTTTTTGAGACAGGGTTTCTCTGTGTAGCCCTGGCTGTCCTGGAACTCACTCTGTAGACCAGGCTGGCCTCAAACTCAGAGATCCGCCTGCCTCTGCCTCCCAAGTGCTGGGATTAAAGGAGTGTGCCACCGTTGTTGATGAGCAGACCATTGGCATATCTCAACATGCCAGTTGGGCCACTGTTTTCGGCTACCACTTCAGAACATTTTTGTTTTGAGTCTGAGAGATGGGTCTGAGGTTAAGAGCACTAGCTACTCTTCCAGAGGACTTCACTTCAGTGCCAGCACCCACATGGCAGTTCCCATCCGTCTCTCGATGGGGCTCCAGCGCCCTCTTCTGGCCTCTGAGGGTACTGCACACACATGGTGCACATATATGCATGCAGGTAAACAAATAGAAATAAATCTTAAACAAAACAAAAAACTGTACTGACCTAAACTTCTATAAAGATGGGATCTGTCGTATAATCAGGAGAGACACTTAAATCTTATTGCTTACAGCCCTTTATTTACAAACTAAAGGTACCGAATGTCAGAGCCTGTCTAGAAAAGACACGAGCCTGCAGGAGGCAGCTGAACACTGCTTACACTTGTCAGCCCAGCAGCTGGCAGACAACTCATGGGACTGCCCTTCGACTATGCTCCCACAAACACACAGGAATCATCCATCCCTGGACCACCCCCAGGCTCCGAGTCAGACAATCAGAGACCACGTTCCTCCAGAATTTGCCACACATTATTCTGGACTAACACACAGACACTGTTTGAAGGGGTGACTTAACATTTGGTTTATTTCCCACTCAAAAACAAAACAACAAAACAAAAACAAAACCATGCCTGTCTATAATCAGAAGCCTCCTTCCACAGCTGATTTAACAGGTAAAATTGGATAGTCACTCAAAACATCTCTGATCCCACTGAAGACTAGCTTCAACCCCTAACCCCATGGGATGAGAGAAGAGGCCTGAAACAAGTCATTCTCTCTCCCCACAGGCGATGGCTTCCTCTTACTACAACAGACACTGAGGAAACAGACCAAAGGATTCCTCCCTTCTTGAACTGGGAATTATGGTGGAAGTGAGTTACTCCAGCTATACCAGAATAGACAGGATAGCTCAATGGCTGGAGCCTTGAACCTCACTGTGGGGAAAAAAAAACAGAAAGTTCCAACTGTGAAGCACCACTACAGACAGGCCTGTGAGAAAGCTCAGAACCCAGGAGACACAGGACCGCATTCTGTGAGGAGGGAGAGGACTCCAGACTTCACTGATCACCGGTAGGAATGAGAACTCTTCCCAGCACTTTGGAACACGGTTTGGCAATTTCTTATAAGAGTCGACGCTCAATTACCACATAGCCCGGCAACTGTAATCCTAAGTATTTACTCAAATGGACTGAAATCTTTCGTCTAGACAAATGGATGTGAATGCTTAACGCAGATTTATTCCCAACCGCTGGGAACCTGCAAGCAACTAAGATGTCCTGCGGTAGACAAACGATCACATCCAAGCCCTAAAAAGAAATAAGCCACAAAAAATAAATACTGTAGAGGGTCAGTGGTAAAGACATCTGCTGTAGAAGCATGCCAACCGGGTTCCGATACTCAGAACCCATGTAAAAAGCCATCAAAAACTCCATGGGCCTAGCAGCCAGCTTGTGATATCAGCCCTGGGAAGGTGGAGACAGAGGAGCCCCTGAGCAAGCTGGCTAGCTAGACTAATCTCATCTGCAGGCTGTGGGTTCCTGTGAGAGACACTGCCTCAGCGCATACGGTAGAGACAAATCAAAGAAAACAATCTCAGGCTTCCATAAAGACACACACTGGCCGGGTGTATGCACACACACACATACACACGCAACAGAGAGAGGGAACGTGAGGGATCCTTCAGTTCATTCTACCAAATGTGACAGAGCAAACTTTTCCACACTCAGAGGACATCCCTGGAGAGGTAAAACAACAGTGAAGGCTCAGCAGTTTCTAGGGCTTATGGGAGGAAGAAAAAAAGGAGGACTAAGGATTACTATAGAGGCAGAATTGTGCTGAGTGATGTCTTGACGCCTTTGTCCAAGGCCACAGAAACAACAGTGAGCCATAATGTAAACCAGACTATGGGTACACGGGAGACCCTCGACTCTTAACAACTGCCTCCACTCTGGTGCTCTGGAGGCTGGTGATGGAGGGAGGTGTGCCTACAGAGGGTATAGGAAGCAGGTGGAAGCAACTACGCAGGTCCTTAGCGTAAACCTAAACCTACTGGAGGGAAAAAAAAGCCTATTTTTCCACTACCCCACCCCACCAAGGTGCAGCTGAAAGTCAACACGCCTTCCTTTAGCATCCAAACACAGCGTTCATGTTCATCACCTTCACTGATGAAAATGACACGAAAATGAGTGTCACAATGAGAAGAGCAAGAGTGAGTTACTCCTCTTCCTGTCAAATTAACTAAAACTCGGGGGGGGGGGGGGGGGACAGCAGAGGCCTGGATGAACTGTCTTACCCTTGTCAGAGTCTTCCCAGTCGGGTTTGTCAGGAAGCGCACCGCTTGACGCAGGCATGGACTCTCCAGGCATAAACCAATTCAGAGGTGGGACCCCGCCCTCAAACCTTCATCTCAGGTGAAAAAGCCTCCGTCAAATCTCTTTCCTGCCTCTGACAATTAGCCCCTTATACACCTGCCAAGAGTAAGGTACCCAGGTCGGCCTGGAGACTTACCCTCGTAGGTCCAGTGGGTGGGTACAAATTTAACTCCCTGAATACATGAAAGAAAGAAAGAAAGAAAGAAAGAAAGAAAGAAAGAAAGAAAGAAAGAAAGAAAGAAAGAGAGAGAGAGAAAACTTTGAGGCCTGCCCCACACTTGCGAACTGTCAGCTTGAACGATTTAACAACCTTACTGGATAGGACTACAGAACACTTACTAACATGAGGGCTCGCACTTACTGACTGGACTGGACTGCTGTTGCTCACAGTGAGCAGAAGAACCAAAGTTTCCCCCACTTCACCCACTAAGTACTCAGGAGGCTTCTGGCCTTGCTCGCCACAAACGAACATGTTTGTCCCTGCAAGGCCAGTGGTGTCTGTGTACAAGTTAACAGACCTACTCGTGGGTCAGCAGGTCAAACAGATAACCTTTTCTCGGTGTTTCCTGTCTCCACACAAGAGCACTCTGACCTCATGCTCTTCCACACAGCATAGTCCAGAGACGTACCCCCTCCTGTAAGTTTCGTTCCCTTCCCTGGCTCCAAGTCTGCGAGAGAGACCAACGCTGTCGAGGACACATTTTAAACCGTGTTCGTGTGCATCAAATTTTAAATAAACAACCTCCACTGTCCCTCTGTTCTTCAACAGAAAGTCTGCTGAGTCCTCTCTTAACCCAGAAAAGGCTTAAAGTGGTCACCTCCACAAATGGTTTTCCTTTCCAATCAAAAAGCCAATCCAGTAACCTGGGGCCTGGAGATTTTACCTTCGTAGGTCCAGTTCCACCGAATGGGACTGGGTAAGAACAAGTTAGATGCCTTTCTACAAAACCAACTGCTATTTAGGTGGCAAATCACTCTGTCTCCCTAGTGGTTTGTGCTATCTACACAAACCAAGACAACCATGTAGAAGCCAGCAGGCACAGGGAACGAACACACACACACACACACACACACACACACACACTTTTTCTTGGCACAAGAGCAGCTTAAATTTGTCCCGTTCTCGTCTCCAGGATGTGATCCCTGACCCACCACCAAATTTCTTTTTCTCCACTGGAAGGTTCCGTCCTAATCAGCTGCATGCAAGCGGCTGTGGCAATTTATCCTCCTTGATTTCTTGACATTTTCTTTCCGTGCTGCTGGCTGGGAAACTGTTTTGATCTGAATAGGGTTGTCTGTGGGGGATTCTGCATGTTAATGATGTGGAGTTGGCAAGGATGGGAGGTGAGAGCACAGCGCGTACTTTTTTCTAGTTACGTTTCGCCTCATCACCGCTACGGGGGCCTTTCCACTCTGCTTCCCCGGGAGGCTGAGCGCAGACTAATCTTACCCTCTTCCAGGGGAGCCTCGAGGGGCCAGGTAGAAACAGAACAGATGGCCTGTGTTCCCGTCAAATACCTAGACTCACAAGCAAGTAGTACTCCTAAGACTCTCAGAACCAATGAAGGAGACGCACGTACATCTTGCTAAGCCAGGCGGTCCCAGCGGCCACCCTCCATCCTGGTTTCAAGCTCCAACCCTGTCCCAGGCAGCGCCAGACGTTACACTCCCCACTACTGTGTACCCCGCCCACCCTCTGGGCCCAAAAGGACCGGGATTCCGAACCGGGTGCTGGTGTAGCCTCAGTGCCCGCCCTTCTCTTTCCATCCTGGCCAGAAAACTCCACTTCCCGGATTCCGGGCCACTCTCGCCCTCCCCCTGAGCCCGGCGATCCAGCAAATCGCCGTCCTCCTGCCAACTGGGGGCCCAGCCCAAGTGGCACACCCCGTCTCCCCAACTAGCCCCTGGACAGACCCCAGCTTCGTCCACTCACGGGGACTCGGAGAGGGTGCCCCTCGATTCGGAGCCTTCAGGCACCCTAGGGTTGAGAAAGTCCCACCCCGCCCCCCCCAAGCCACGCCGCCAGCCTCCAGCCCTGCCTCGGAGGGGCCTCCACCCCGGGCGACGAGGGGATGTGGGGAGTCTCCCCAGACACCTCCAACACCCCAAGGGAGGGAGGGAACTCGTGGCCCCCAAGGCCCGCTCCCTGTCCCCGCAGGCCCTTAGCCCCGCACGGGGGCGCGCACTCGGGGGTCCCCCCCCCTCGGTCCTCGGGGTGCACTCACGATGGTCACGCTGGCTTTGCGCAGGTCGCGGTTCTCCTCCTGCAGCGCCTTGCACTTGAGTTTGTAGGTCTCCAGCTCGATCTTGAGCACCTTGTTCTCCTGCTGCAGCGAGGCCAGGCGGTTGGTGAGCTCCTCCAGGCGGAACGGCGAGATGACAATGCCCCCCGACTTCCCGCCGCCGCCCCCGCCGCTGCCGCCCGAGGTCGCCGAGCAGGACGACTGCATGGCTGCCGGGCCGCCGCCCGCCGCGTCCGTGTCGCTCTCGCTCGCGCTGTCCGCCATGGCGGGGCGAGTGGGCGCGGGGTGGGGGGGACAGCCGGACGCGGGGAGCCGGGACGCCGAGGGCTGGGCGCGCGGCGAGTGGGCGCGCGACGAGTGGGCGCGGGGACCGGGTGCGCGGCGGCGGTGGCGGCGGCGGAGGAGCGGGGGAGCTCAGAGCGCGGCGCGGGCGGGCGGCAGGGCGCAGACGCGCGGCGGCGGAGAAAGAGAGGGCGCTTCCCGCGGCCGCGCGAGCTGCTCCGCCAGGGAACAGAGACCCCGCCCGGACTCGGGCAGTACTGCAGCGCCGGGACTCGGGCGCGCTCGGCGGGGCTGTCCCCGCAAAGCCCCAGCCTCAGCGCTCGCCCAGCAGCTGCGCACAGAAAGCTCGCGCCCGCGCCGCCTCCCCGCGCACGTGCTCCCGCCCCCCGGGGGTGGGGACCCTCTGCGTCCCCCGGGGCCCCCGCCCACCCCCACCCCCGCCGCACCGCCTCTTCCGGAGAAAGGCGGACCCCACGCCGCGCCAGCCCCGCAGGTGCCGGGACACGTGGGAGGGGCAGCCCGGCTCTCCGGTCCACCCCACCCGAACTGTAGCCTGGCACCTTCGGTCGGCGCCGGCGCGCGTGGCTCTCCCTCTGGGTACCCCGTGCAGATGCTCGCTTGGGGCTGGGAACACAAAGTTCCCCTGCAGTGGGCCGAGTGTGTGTGTCTGTCTGTCTCTCTCCCTTTCCTTCCTTCTCTGTATTTGTGTGTGTGTGTCTGTCTTCCTCTCTGTGTATTGTGTGTGTCTGTCTCTCTGTGTCTGTGTGTCTCTCTCCCGTCTCCCTCTGTGTGTATGTGTATGTATATTTGTATGTGTCTTTCTCTGTCTGTCTGTCTGTCTATCTGTCTGTGTGTTGGCATGACGGCAGCCACAGGTTAGCCTAACGAGTAAGAATTTTGCAGAGGCGACAAGGCCCTGGTGCGTCCAGGCGCAGCCCTCTCCACCCCCTCTTTCTCTTTGCCCCCCTGCAAAGACTCTGCACGGGTCACGGGAATAAGATTTAAGAAACCCAAGATGTGTCTAGTCAAGAAAACGGGGAGCTTTTTTTTTTTTAAACCTCGGAAGGGTTTGAAACACTTCAAGTACCAATTTTCCAAAGTAACTGCAGACACAATGCTAAACAAATCGCCACGATTAAGTGGGGGGAACTGTGTAACCATTACCTACTGCTCTCCGACTCCTACAAAACTCCAGGAGGTTTAAAAAAAAAAACCGTAATTACTACTGTAGAGAGCCAGGTTCAAAGAATCAGAAATTCAAATACTGCTAGGCCCCTCCTCCCTCTTAGGAGGGCTTGATGCAGGAAACAGGCCTAGCAGGTGAGAAGGATCTAAACACTTCACCCCTCCTGATACAGAACAGCTTTCGCTTCTGGGTTAAAAAGAAAAAAAAAAATTGGAAAGTGAAACTAACCAGACGGGTTTTATTATCCAAGTTTAGTCAACGGAAGAACAAACTAAGGAAAACAAAATGCCAAAAAGGGGGCTGGGGGCGGGTAGTGAAAAGTGTTTTCTGGCTGTCAACTGTTTTATAAAGCGCTTAGTATGACTCCGTCGCTTTCTTGTTTCATGATGAACCTTGTCCTTAAACCTACATTTGATCCGGTGGTTAGGTTGCTTCGTCCCACGGCTAAACAGGAACTGGCTTCACCTCGGAATAAACTTAACCTGCCAGGGGTGAAACCTTGACCTCATGTTTACCAAGATGGCTGCTTCTAGGCAACAACTCAGAAATGCTAACTGCGGTGACCGTCCCCCCCAACACACACACACAGACTTCTCCCAAGTACTCTTGAGTTTAGTGCTAGGGGACTTCTGAACACAGTCGGTGACGTTGAATTTAATAATACAAGAATCGAGGGCAGGGGAGAGCCTTTGGCTTTGCTCTCCGGGAGCACGTGAGGGAGCCACTTTGTCACTTAAGTTTACTCGGCTCCTCGACTTTGCCATCTTGGGTCTGGGACAGGAGACACTCGGCTCCTTCGGTTACAGGAAGCTTCTGGAAAAGCGACTCGCAGGGTGAGATGGATGGGGGTAAAGGGAGCACGGCCCGGGTCTGGGATTTAGCTGCATTCTTTCCGCTTTATTCAAGGCAGTCTGGGGTGGGCGTGGCTTCCATACTTCACAAGTTTCTATTGTTCTTTTCCCACCCCACCTCCAGACTGCGGGGTTTGGAGGGCTTTACAGCCTGGGGGAGCGTTCCCTCTGGGGGGTGAGGGGGGATTAGCTCTCTCTCCTGTTTATCTCTAAAACTAACTGCCTTGGGAAGCCGACCTGCAGGCTTCCAGTCGGGCAGAGGGGTGGAGTTAGAAGTGCCTGGTTTTCTTAAAGGGCCCATGTCAGGCTAAGCTTGAGAACGTCTTAGTCTTCATTGGGGGGAACTACATTTTTGACATGGTATCTGTAGTTAATAATCGGGTTGAGAAGATAGTACAAGAAAATTTTCATCTTCTAAAGCTTCCCTGCTGATACAGATGAGAATAAATTGGAAGATTTTTTTTTCACCCGTCCTGGTTTTTATTGTTACTTCAAAACAGAAGCATATCTAATTTTCTACTTCTTGTAGAACTGATTCCCCTCATAAACAGACGATTTGTCACGACGCTGGTTCTGTAATAGCATTACAATGGAAACACCAGATACAAAACAGATCGGATCATTATAAAACCTCCTCAGCTTTCCAGGGGAAATGAATCAGAGGGTACTGAGTAGGCTGACTTCCCTGGAGAAAGAAGAGGCAAAGGAAGATTAGCACCTCCGTTGTAGAAATAATGAAATCAGCTTCACCCTGAGCTTAAGTCACAAGGTTTATGGATAAAAGAAAGGGTGCCTTGCAGTTGAGGTGCGAGGGGACGTCTAAATCTTTGTTTCTCAAATACAAACATTTTGCATTTTGATTTGCTGGGTACCCTTTAAACCTTAATGTTCTCAGTGCAAACATAAAAATGGTGGTGTGAATCCTGGGAGGTTTTTATTGCTTAATAGTAATGACTGTGTGTGCGTGTGTGAATGTTCGCGCACGTGTGTGTATGTGTGTGTGTGCGCGTGTGTGTGTGTGTATGTGTGTGTCTTTATATATATGCACACACATATATATGTATGTATACATATATATACATACATATATACAGTGATATATATATAATATATATATCACCATACATCACTGGTTCCTTCTCTATAGGATCCATGTGACTTCACTCAAACTCTCAGTGATTTGGTGCATTCAGAACGCACTTTTAGTCTTAAACAGACTTGAAGTGAACCAAATGTAGGCTGGCCAGAGGTGGAACGTGTTCAATGAAGCAGTCCATTCAAGAAAGATAGTTCGCACCATTTGGAGCCTGTGTCTGGCCCCCGGGGCCTTGAAGAGGGATCTGAACATTGGCTACTTCAACCCTTGAGCCTAGATTTTTGTCACAGTGAGCTCTAGCACACATCTTAAGATACTTATTTTGTGTACCAGCACGCCTGCCTCTGATCTACCTGCTCCATGCCATCCAAAAAAATGTCTCCAGACATTGCTAGGACTGCCTTCTCCCAACCCCACACCCACCACAAAAACAGTTGTCCTACTAGAGATAGAAGAAATCTGAAATGATAGAAATGACGATATAAAGGACTTCCTGCTAGATTTGCTCAGGAGGCATTAAGTCACACAAGTGGAATTTAGCTTAAGGAGCACTGACTCCAAAATACCCCAAAGATAAGCAGGGTGCTGACCAGGCCTGTTAGAGATTAGGAAAATTTAGCATGCTAGGATGTAAACGTTTGTTCACCAGGATTGACATTCACTTAAGTCTCCACTCTTATAACCAAAGGAGATAACCCTGACTTATCAGCCATTAGGCCCATCCCATAGTAAAGAACATACCTCTGGGGGGTCATCTCAAGGGGTCAGCACAGGGTCACAGCCACCATTAAGCCCACTCTGCCATTAAGACCCCTGTGCTCTTATCAGGGAAAGCATAATTCAACACAGTGGGCAAGAGGACCCAGGGAAATGACTGTTGGAAAACAACGATGGTGTACTTAAGAAATAATTCTGGCAGTACTTCTGCTGTGTAAATAAGGCTCCCATCCGCCCAAGTGGCCACATGAACTCACTCCTGTCGTTCTTCAATTGTTCAAAGTGCACACCGGGGCTGGGTGATAGTCTTTATGGAGAGTATCTGTCTGATATGTATGCGATGTGAGAGAAATCTTCTCTTCAGGGTTGTCTCCTCTTCGGGCATTCACCAGAGCCAGACACACACTGATAAACGGCTCTTTTTCTACTAATATCTAAGTGTGCAGCATGATTGCCCGTTGGAAAGCATATTAATATTAAATCTAGAACAGTAAATAGAACAAGATTGGGATGCTTTTAAACCAGCCACCCATCAATGGCGTACTACAGAGCCACCAAGACCGTTTCCTCCATATTTTGTAGCAAGTGTCAACTGCCCCGATGGAGTCTGTCCCTAAGCACGTGTCTGGACTCCTTCTTAACCCTGTCTACAGACACTCAGCTCCTTCAGCCCACCGTTTCACTGACTTTGCTTATGGTAAGGTGACGTTGAACACGGGACATCGCATCTGGGTAGGAGATCATGACTAGAAAATGAGTCAAGACATCTCTCTCCTCATCCCTCTTTTGTGTTTGCGTTTTCACTGAAACACACTGTCTTAAGGTTTTACTGCTGTGACCAGACACCATGACCAAGACAACTCTTGGAAGAACAACATTTAAGTAGGGCTGGCTTACAGGTTCAAAGGTTTAGTCCATTATCATCAAGGCAGGAACATGGCAGCATCCAGGCAGACATGGTGCAGACGGAGCTGAGAGTTCTACATCTTCATCTGAAAGCTGCTAGTGGAAGATTGGCTTCCAGGCAGCTAGGATGAAGGTCTTTTGCCCATGCTCACAGTAACACACCCACTCCAACAAGGCCACACCCACTCCAACATGGCCACACCC